ACGTGGACTCCACGAAAAAAGGGTGACGTGGAGTTCATGTGGAGGGTGACGTGGAGTCTACGTGGAGTCCACGTAAGCATCTTTTACCAGTTGGTATACCCACGTCAGCTGTTCCAGTTAAGTTAACGTGCCACGTGAGTAAAAATTAACGGAAGGACCAAAAAGGAGCCGGATTTGTGAACAGTAAAGACTAAAAAAGGGATTTTTTCGGTATAAGAACCAAAAAGGACCTTTTTCTTATAGTAGAGGGACCAAAAAAGGTATTTAACCCAAACAGATATTTCCTGTCTAAAGTCTAAACGGCTCGATTAATTGCAAAAGGTTAAATGCTAGTTTTGGTCCCTCAACTTTAGTGGTTTGCACATTTTTGGTCCTTTAACAATTTTTTGCACTTTTTTGATCCCTCAACTATACGAAATGCACTCCGTTAGTCCTTCTGTTAATTTCGATCGTTAACTCGCTCACGTGGCATTTTTTATTTTTTTTTGATGACGTGGCAAAAGCAAATTGAATACAGGTTGACGTGTCGTGCCACCTCACATGCCACCTCACATGCCACCTCAGTTATTTTATTTTCTTTTTTTTTTCTTCCTCTTCTTTCTTCATCTTCTTTCTTCCTCGGGTCACTGAACCCTCTGCTGGTGTTTTTTCCATTTTCAAGATTGAAGTTTGACATGATGTTCTTTCTATTTTCAAGATTGAAGTCCGACAGAACCCAGCTAGATTCATTTCTTTCCATTTTCAAGATTAAAATTCGACAGAATCCAGTTCGATTCATCAAACTCAATTGTCCAAAAATCTCTCCCAACAACCTGCAATTTGGAAATCTCTTGTCAAACAATCATATAACAGAAAAAGAAACTAGTTACCCAAAAATCGCTGACGGCAAACAATCATATATAAACCAACAAAAAAAAAAAAAGGTGGAGCTGGGTTCTGGTCGCTGGAACCCAGTTGCTGGGTTCGGGGGAACCCAGTTGCTGGGTTCCATCGAACCCAGTTGCTGGGTTCCATCGAACCCAGTTGCTGGGTTCGACTGGAACCCCGCCTGGGGAAGAAAGAAGAGAAGAAAGAAAAAAGAAAAAGAGAAAGGAAAAAGATGAACAATTATGAACAATTATATTAGTTTATTTTTTAAAAATATAAATAATAATAATAATGTGAGGTGGCATGTGAAGTGGCACGACACGTCAACCTGTTTTCAATTTGCTTTTGCCACGTCATCAAAAAAATAATAAAAAATGCCACGTAAGCGAGTTAACGATCGAAATTAACAGAAGGACTAACGGAGTGCATTTCATATAGTTGAGGGATCAAAAAAGTGCAAAAAATTGTTAAGGGATAAAAATGTGCAAACCACTAAAGTTGAGGGACCAAAACTAGCATTTAACCATTGCAAAACATAACCTGGCTTCGTTAATACGCAAACCAATCTCTTCCCTCGGCATATTAAATGATTAAATCCTTCTCGGGAAAAAAGGAAAGTATATTACCGTCGGCTAGCGCTCCTCTTTTTCCGGCGGAAAATCATCGGCACTCTTATCTTACAGCTGCCGGAATTTCG